GGATTGAATAGAATTGCAGAGATTCCTTGTGGAGAGAACAGCATGGTGGTTAAATGTCCAAATTCTGAAGGCTGTGTGACTTCATATGAATCCTGATTCTACACATACTGGCTGGATTATTGGACAAGTTCTCTAACTCACATCTCTAAAACAGAAACCACACCAAGTTCAGATGGTTAATGTAAGAATTAGAGCGAAAAAGAAGATACATGCCTTGTACTGACCACAGAGCCTGGTGTATGGCTGATAACTGTGGTTGGGATGGATGTTACTCTTATACAGTCTGCTAAGCATTGTGGACGAAATGTAGGAACTGTTAGACTGGGGTTTTATAATGAATTCTGTGACCCACAATTCAAATTCATTGTTGAGGGTAACAGACAGTTGAGGGTGTTTTTACTATAACTCATCTCATCATGTTAGCATAGTTGTTTTTTTTTAAATATAGAAGTAAATGTATCTGTTTCCCCAAACATAGAAAATCAAAGTGAAATGTTTCCTAGGATGTAGCTGTGGAAAAATCTAGATCAGGGAAGAAATCTTGATTTCCTGCCCATGTGCTCTGACCACTACCTGTCCGTGTCATCAGCATAGGGTGCTGATCACACTCTGGTCACTGAACTGGCCTCTGAGAGCTGGAGACAGTTTGGACCAACAACCAAAATAACAAGTGTTTACTAGAACTACTGGTAGCTTTGTTACAGCCAGGATTGTGTAAAATTCCTCATTTTGGTACCATATTCTACATTCCAACATGTTTAAAGATAACGTGACAGCCACTCAATGTATTTGCATCAGGGACATCTAGTAACTAATCTCTAAGGAGAAAATACAGACTTTTTTTTAAAGACATGTTATTAAAGAACTGAGTCATAAAAAATCGAAGAAATCTTCCTTTCTGACTAATCAATGCGGCGGTGGATTTGGGGGAATGCGTATTTCTATATCTTCACACCTCCTTGCCTTGCACTGATCCTTGGCTGCTCCTTACTGTCTGTCCACTTTGCTGTTGGCCTCTACCTTTGGAAGAAGAATGATGTCATCCAAGTATCCGTGTCTGCTATAACAGTGGCTGCTGTGTGCCAGGCACTGTGTATATCCCTGGCAACACCCATGCCCATTAAACCCTGTGGCCACGGCATGAAGGTTGCATGATTGCTTGGAGTCATCAGAGGTGACATGAACTAGTCTGAAATACTCGCAGATAACAAATAGCAAAACTAGAAATCATAAGTATGTGTGTATGTATGTGTGCACCAATCCCGTAATCCCAATACCAGGGTAAACCAACTTTTTGCTCACCAAACTTTACCGTGTATAATGCACACCTTGCCCAGCATCTCTGACAAGCAGAGACTAATGTGGCCAGTGTTGTAACAGTGTGTATTCCTCACACATCATGAAAGTGTTCTACTTCATTTTCCTCTGATCTTTCTGTGGCTGCAGAGTACTAAGCTCACCTGTGGGGCATGCTAGAAGAACCATGTAGTTCGTGCCCACAGGAGCGACTTCCAACCAGGGAGGGACAAGGATTAGTGGTATAAACAGCTCTTCTTCTCCATCTCTTAGAATGGGACACTTCTGATGGGCAGTTATATTGTTTAAAATCACTTAAAGGTTCTCAAGCAGAAATGAGCCACAATTACTATTCACAGCAATACGTCTTCTCATCAGCCCTTCCTTTATTGGCTTCCCGTAGAGTCTCAGGTAGCCCAGATGAGTGTTTTCGCTGGGCCAGCCATTCAATAGACAAATAGATATTGATTGGCTGCTGTTCTTCTGGAACAAAAGGGAACCAAATGGCCAGGATCTGGTCTCTGCTCACTAAGATTTTACAAGAACATATATGCAAAGAAAACTTGACTGCAGGGAGAACATGAAGGAGTTGTGAGGCAACTGCAAAAATTCAGGCAGAAATTGATGGTGGTTTGGCTCGGGTTGTCAGAAGGTGGATGTGAAGCAGTTAGAAAAGTATTGTAGAATATGTTGACTGTTCATGGGAAGAGTATGAGAGAAATGGCAAGGTCAAGGACATGACTAAAGTGGTCTTTCCCTCTCTGAGAGCTTAGAAGAATGGAATTGCTCTTACCTTTGATGGGAAGCCTTCAGAAAGAATATTGGGAGGAGGGTAGCAGAACAGATGTTAGGGGTACAAATCTGAGATGCTGATAAGTCACCCAAGTTGGGGTCTAGAAGAAACTCCTCAGAGTAAGCCTGTGTTCAGGGGGAATCTAGGGGTGTAGATAGAAGTTGGGAATCATAGGCATGTGGGAGAACACATGAGCATGGAGAAAGACGCTCCTACCCAGGAAAGTGTGCCCTAGCAGAGAAGATAGAGATTCTTGCATCACACACAAAATCATCACAGCTCATGGTGAATGCTGGGAAGAAAACTGCAGTAAGTACCCCGTAGAGGACACAAATATGCTAGTGAGTCTGTCCTGAAGAAACTGAGTCTGAACAAGGAGATGCTGTGTAGAGACAGATGGAATAGTCAGTGTGGAAACCAGAGAGGTGCGGACTGAAAGGAGGCAGCAGGTCCATGGGACTGGGAGAAAAATGGAAGACTTCCTGAAAGAGGAGGCTTTTGATCTTGACCATGAATGTTGCATAGGATTTTGACTTTCACTGCTTAGAAGAGGAGCATTGGAGGCAAATAAAGCACAAGGTCAAGTACCCAGCAAACACTCAGTAGCACTGGATCTTAGTGAAAAAGAAACCTAGGAATGAAAATTGAGGGCCAGTTTATTAGGGTTATGACTTTCAGAGGAGTTCAGGATTAGCCCGAGGGTAGCAAGAGCTGTAAAAGTCCATGATTGACACGGTGCTCCTGACCTTAAAGAGTCAATAAATAGGAGGCTACAAGGCCAGTTAATAGAATTTGGCATGGAGGAAAGAAAGGAACAAGTGTCCAGGAAGACATTTCATTTTAAAGACTTATTTATTAATTTGAAAGTCACAGTTACAAAGAGAGAACCAGGTCTTTACATGGTTGGCAGGGGCCATGCACTTGGGATGTTTTATGTTGCTTTTTCCATGGCCACTTATGGGGAGTGGATCAGTAGTGGAGGGGCTGGTATGCAAGCCTGCACCCATAAAGGATGCTGGCATGGCAGGTTGTAGCTTTACTGACTGTACCACAGTGCCATTCACAGCCAGGAAGACATTTAAGAAGAAATACAAGTTGACAACAGGTCCTGAAATATAAAAATATGTGTAGCATTTGGTTGATATTATTGCTTAAAGGAGAAGACTGGAGAAGTATACAGTCATTCCTGGCTTAATGCTGGGATTTGTTCTGGGAAATGTGTCTTCAGGCAATTCCATTATTGTGTATTGAGTATATTCATATGAACCCAGATGGTGTAGCTCAGTCAGTCAGTGTGGCCTCCTGGTGCAGTCAAGAGCCAGTGACAAAGCAGCAGGTGTAACCTACTGTTTAACAGTAAAATTTGTTTCTTTCCCTTTTTTTCTTGTTAAGATGCAGAGTGAGAGAGAGAGAGAGAGAGAACAAGCGCTTTCCATTGTTTCATTTCCCAAATGGCTGTAATGACCAGATCGGGGCTAATTGAAACGCAAAAGCTCCATCCTGGTCTTTCATACAGGTAGCAGGAATCTAAACCCTTGGGTCATTATCTGCTGCTTTCCCAACACTCTGTCAAGGTGCTGGGTCAGAAGCAGAGCAGCCACGGTTCAGTCTGGCATCGCAATATGGGATGCCCATGTCTCAAGTGTTGACCTAATCTGCTGTGTTACTGGCCCCAAACTTTATTTCTTATAAAGAAGGAATACAATAGGGGCAGACATTGGGTCTAATGGATTGGCTCCCAGTTGGGATGCCCACTTCCCATACCATAGTGTTTGAATTTCAGTCCTAGCTCTGACCCAGATTTCAGCTTCCTGCTCACTATCCAGTAGACCCTGGGTGGCGGCAGGTGATGTCTCAGTGCTTGGATTTTTGTCACCTACATGAGTAAGTTGGATTGAGTTCCTGGTCCCTGGCTGCAATCTGACCCAGTGGAACAGATGGAAGTGCTCTCTATCTCCAACAAAATTTTTGAAAGGCCACATTTAAAATAAAATAAAATTACGTTGAAAGTATTGTTTGGTAAGTACAAAAGCTGTTAACATACTTGTTTATTATCAAATATGTACTGACAGTTGTACATGTTAGACAAGTGGCAATGCAGCATGCTGATTTATACCAGTATCATTACACACACAAAAGTTTTATGTGGTGACCTTACAATAGTGACAATGTCACTAAGTGATGTGAGTATCTCAGGTCCATTATTATGAAACCACTCTCAAATGCCATCGGTCACTGGCTATGCAGTGTGTGAGTGTACATAGAAGTTACAGATTGTACTCAATTGGAAAACTGCGTATAACATAAAAATATGAGGCACGACACAAAGGCCTATCAGTAAGAAACCAAATAAGCTGTCATGCTTTCACACCATGTAGGGCTTTTAGTGATTAAGAACAATGATGTATATTTGCATCTATAGACGTAAAAGAAACACATGATTCAGTGTTTAGTAAAAAGGCTGCAAAACAGCATTTATCCTGTAACCCCATTTATCAAAGTGATAGTCTTAAAGTATCTGTCTTGAATATGTGTTTAGGGAAACCTTTGAAATTATGCCTGTATCAAAGTTTTCCTGACAGACTTCTCCAAATGATAGGATTGGGGGTGTGTTGTTTTTTGTTGGTTTGGGGGAAGAATATCTTTTTCCTTTAAAGTTTTTTTTTCTTGGGGGGATGGCATGAATATTCTGCCATAACCTGATAATATTTTAAATAACAAGACTGTGTGGGTGTTTGAAAGGAGGTCAGACAGTTCCTGAGCTTTTCCAGGACAAGCATGGCCCCAGATCCTGAGTGAGCAGTGTCAGCCCGCATCATCTGTCCTCTTCCAAGGGGGAGAGAGAAGGAGATTTAGACCTGGCATGAGGGAGCATGTTCAGATAGCCAGGTAACCTTCTCTCCTCTTCCAGGGTCTTCCTGAGAGCTATCAACAAGTTTGCAGAAACAATGAACCAGAAGTTTCTGGAACACACAAACTTTGAGTTCCAGGTGAGTGCCACCCTTGGAGCTGCCTTGGGGTGCTCTGGCATCTCAGGGTAATGGCTCATCAGATCCGTGTCCCCAAAGCACATGGAAGATGTGCAGGTGTATCTGGGGACTTCACGGGGAGCTGTGGACGGTGTGGGAACTTCTTAGGCTTTATAAGCATTGTCTGATGAGTGGCCATTAACTTAGCACCCTATGCAAACACGGTGTATGACAGATCTTGTGCTAGTGGGGAAACAGATGTTCATTCACTGTCAGAGTGGATACCACCTTGTAAAACAGCATTAGCACATTTTCTTCTCTTTTCACTGGAGCCTAGAAACAGCCATTCATAGACACCAACAATACTTCTCTGTGGCTTCCTGATCACTCCCAAAGTCGTTGTTAGATGTTTGCCAATACTTGGGCCCTATGAGAGATTCGAGAACCTGAAAGCATGTACATGGGGCAGACAGGGTGACACATCTACTCCAGGTCCACAACCTGGAAGTTCCAGATCAGGCTGGAGATGTGGGAGAATCCTCTCCACTCCCCAAAGGTGATGCCTGTCCAGGGAAATCTGTGATCACAAGACCTCCTGCAGTGGGGACTGGAGGAGTAGAAGTTGCTGAGTCCAGAGCCCTGGGGCTCAGGCAGTCAGTACTTGGCTGAGCATCATGCTGTTACCAGCTTAGTAACTTTAGGCAAAGCTTGCGCAATGCCTGTGCCTCAGGTGATTCAGCCACTGATAGCCATCACCCTTTCACACATCATAAGGTTTTCTCCAGATTAGGAAGTGTGAAGGTTCTTGTTGGGAAAATTCACCAGTGAGATCCCACCAGTTTCTTTTATTGCTGTTACTATTATTATTGTTTTTATGATATAGTTCCATAGGTCCCCTTCCGCCTCCTACTTTCCCCCCCCTCAATTTCCTCTTTATTATTACATTGTATAGCCTTTCATGAACAGTCATAAGACTATCATTTTGCTATTTAAGTGTGTCTTGACATTGTAGGTGTGGACAATGGCAGAGAATCCAGCATCCTGTTGTCAAGATGTTTTAGTTTCATTGGGATTCAATCTTTGATTTGGAAGTAGAGATGCATACTGCATTGTGTCTTCACACCTGGAAATGATAGTCCCTGTTATATAGTTACTATACATCTCCTTAAATAAAAAGCCATAAAACAAAATTGAAAACAGAAAAGCAGAAAATTTATAGTAACATGAAATTAAAATAACATGCTATAGAATGCCATATGTGTCATTCTATAAAATGAAAAAGAAAAGAAAAAAAAACCTTCTTGAAGAAAATGATGCTCCTTTATGACCTATGTGTCACTGAAGAAATTAATAAGAAAAAAAGAAAACTTTTTTGAAGAAATGACAAAAACAAAAATATCAAAACTCATGACATGTAGCAAAAACAGTATTAACAGGGACATTTATAACATCAGATGCTTACAAATAATCAAAATGCCTCAAATAAATGATTAATAATGCATCTCAAGGACTTATTTAAAAAGCAAAATGAACAGGAAGGAAGAAATATCAAATTCACAGCAAAAATAATTGGAATTGAAACTAACAAACTGCAAATTGTAACAAGAGCCAGTTTTTAAGAAGAATAGTGAAACAAACTTTTAGCCGTAATAACAAAGGAAAACATGAAGGAAAAGCCAATTAAAATTAGAAAGGAAAGAAGAATAACTCCTACTTTGTGCTACTTATGTGTGTCATGACACTATTGGTACAGGCAATATAAAAAGTCTAATATTTTGTTGTGTAGATAGTTAGAAGTTTCATGGTGAGTCTGCTTTTATTGCGTAGCAGGGGTATATTCTGTAGATTTTCTTTGATTCCTGGTACTCTGGTCTCTATTGTATCCTTCGTTTGGTCTTACCAATGTCTGTTCCAGCATGGCCTCCTCAGAGAGGCCTCCTCAGTGCCTGACATCTCTCTGAGGATCATCCCACCACCACTTGTTGAGGTTACTTCAGGACACTCCACCATTTGTAATCATCGTTCTCATTTGTCTACATCTGTGTTTTCTCTCTTTCCTCCTGTAAAATATGGCCTTTCTTAGTGCAAAGACCTTGTACTCACAGAGGCTGTATCCTCCGTGCTTGGCACCTGGTAGGTAGGTCAGCTTGGGGAGATGATGTCTGTCTGCCTGAGGCCTGAAGGACCCACCCTGCTGGCAGCTGTGACCTACAAGTGTTTTCGCTGAGCTGAAAGGTTGAACATTGTCTCTGATCAGGATTCTCTCACATTTCCTTGCATTCAGATCAGGCAACTGAACTGTAGGAATCAGCTGCTGGCTTATCCATGCCAAATTTCATGAGTAGCATTTTCAAGGGCACCTTAATTCAGTCCCTAAACCTCTGTTGCTTCAAGCAAGACCCAAGGCGATGAGTTGAGAACCTAAAGTCATGGTGCGCATCAGCCTGGAACTCACGGTGACTGACAACAGAGCCCACCTGTGCAGCCACTGCCACATACTGGCTGTGCAGCTTTGTCAAGCACCAGGACTTGATGGCTGTCTGCCTGGGTCTGGGCAAGAGTTTCTCCTGGCATTATAAATCTTTGATATGGGACAAAACATGACATTTGTTTGATTTCCTTCCAAATGTAGTTCAGATGCCTGCAGCCTCTGGTGGCAGCTGTTTTCAAGGAAATTAATATGGCCATCGTTTTTCTTGATGGGGCAGCAGTGGCTGTGTTGTGACCATAGAAGTGTAAGCTGGTTTGGTCTTCTCCTTAGCCATCATCAATGTCTGCCTGGGACCTTACCTTCTGCCTCTGTGGTCTCCGGGGACTACTCAATTCTTCGGTCCTTCTTACAGTTGTACCCTATGTTTCTAGAAGCAAATCTGAATGGGAGAAATGCCCAAAGGTTGAGAAAGTTTGAGCTTCTGAGCTGAGTGACTTCAAGGACATTGCTTTGCCTCACGGAAATTCAGTTTCCTCAATATAGTATCTGGTCATTAATCCATTGGCGATTGAGGGGTCTAATGGAGTTAGAGCACTTAGAATAGCGCCAGAAGCAAAGTGGCTATCTAATAAGTGTTAACTCCTTATAATCAAAATTATGATAATACTGATGGCCCTTAATTGGCGAAGGCTGGTGTCAGTGAATGATAAACAAAAGAGCAGGAAGGTGTTCAGGCCACAGCAGCATTGCCTGGGATTGTCACACCTGTAAGAGTCTGCAAGTGGCCAACATTTGAAAAGAAAATATCCCCCTTTCTAACAAGGCTTGCATCTTCCATGGATATGTATTGAAAAGCACCTGTCACAAAACAAGATCATTTTTCAGCCTTATCTTTGTTCTCTCCTGCCTCCCATGTGAGATCGGATTTGCTTTCTGTCCCCTGCCTGCAACACGCCTTGTCTCCTTCTTACAGTTTCATTAATTATGCATTTAATATCAGCAGGAACAGCATCCATCACTGAACGCTGCTGGCCTTGGCAGCTGCTGTCCAGAAGAGGGGCAGATGCAATGAGGTTATCCCTAATATCTTTTCCGGAAATGTGGCTTTGAGATTCAAAGGGTAGAAGCAAGAAGCTCAGTGGGTGCCAGTCATCTATGGGTGACAAGCCTTGAGAATTACAAAGATAACATTTGCTTGAGACTAAGATCATTTGCATATTTGGGCCCTATTCAGCATGCTGGATCCTGGTCATTTCCATGTATGTACGCAGGGGAAAACAAGAAGACAGATCAATTTGGCACAGTTTAAGAGAAATTCTTATGCACCCAGACTATTGCCACGTGCTTTGAGGAACTGAGAAGCAAAGGATTTAGGAGTCTTAGTGAAAGACTCAGGAAACTCATCCTCTAGCCTTGGAGCTTTTGAAGGTGACTTTCTTTAGATTTCTTAGGCTATTGTCATCTTTATCATAATCCTGTTGGGTTGAGGTACATCCATCCCACTAGTGAATAAACAGAGATGAGAGAAGTGGCTGACTTTTTGTTAAAAATCCATCTAGCTGCTAAGCAGCACTGCTGGGATTTGACCTAAGGACTGTGTGCAAGCTCCTTCTATATATGACATTGTATTCCCTCTTCAACAGGGGCCTTTGGATGCTGGGAGGCAGCTCTATCTGGCTCCAGAAACACTCTCTGCCCGTTCTTGGCCTTCCTAACCCGTGGCTAGAGAGCTCAACGATGGCTGGTTACAGCATTAGGCTCTCCTTGTAGGAAACTCTGATTGACCCTGGAAATGCTTTCCAGCTCCAGGAAAATTGTTCCTATGTCAGCAGCTCTATGATTGGCACTAAGAGCCTTGTGTCAATCTGGAAAGCTCTAATTGGCTCTTGGTGTTATTCCTGCCTTAGCTTCGTGGCATTTTTAGACCAGTTTCTGAGGTCCAGCTGGTCAGGGGCTCATTTTTCAACCAGTACATTAGGTCTTACGAAGTGGAAAATATCCAGAATATTCTCAACCATTAGTGTGGCAACGAAAGCCAGATTAGTGTTTACAAAGAAAAATGCAGCCATTAATGACCAAAAAAAGCAAGCAAGAAAGAGAAAAAAGCCAGGTAGAGACACACAGCACACACAGAGGGGTAGTCTTCAAAGCAGATAAAAAGTCCATGCATCACCAGGAGTCTCATGGTGGAATGGTCACTCCAGGCAAGCAGATGATCATGTCCCTGGGGACAGTTTTCCCAGCCCTGTGTGTAGTCGTCCACCAAAGGGCCATACTTGGAACCTCCCACTGCGGATTCAGCAACAATCCCAGGGTGGTCATGGCAGTGGTGCTCTCGCTTCTCAGAGAAGGCCAGCCCAGCTGCAATTGCAGCAACAATGCCTGCTGGTCTCTTTTTAAATTTTTATTTAAATTTGGGATAAAGAATAATTCAAAGCCATTCAGAACGAATCGTGCAGGATCCAATATCCCTCCCTTGATCTCTGCTATAAAAATTGCAAAGTATTCGTTGAAGCAGTAGAAACCTTAACCAGACACAAAGACTAGAGGAAGCTGAGGAAGCGGAAAAGCGGCTTTAGCAGAACATGGCACTTAAGAATGCAAGTCCTGAAGCTGGTGTGATGGCACGGTCGGCTGCCCCTCTACCTGCAGTGCCATTATCCCATATATCACATATGGTCTGTCTTGGCTTCTTCACTCACTTCCCATCCAATTCCCTGCTTATGGCCTAGGAGAACCTTGGAGATTGAGTCAAGACCTGCACCCACATGAGAAAACCAGAGGAAGCTCCTGGTTCCTGGCTTTGGATTGGGTTAGCTTTGGTTGGCCGTTTGGACCATTGAGAAGTGAATCAATGAAAGGACTCTCTCTGTTTCTCTCTGTCACTCTGCCTTTCAAATAAAAGTAGAATAAATCTTAAAAAAAATGCAAGTCCTAGGATAGCGTAAAGTTGGATCCAAATGCCATTTGTACCATGTTGCAGCTGTGGGACTTTGAGTAATTATTTAACCTCTAAAACTTTAGTTTCCTAATCGCTAAATGGCGGTGAGTGATACTACAAGTTTTGTAATTCCTTTAGAGGTTCTAAGCAGAATGCACACAGATCCTGGGTCTCTAGTGAACTTACCAGATGCTTCCTGAATACTGGCGAGGGCTGTATGTACAATAGTGAATAAAGAAGTCAGGTTCTGCTCTGTGTGATGCCTGCATCTCACAGAAGAGACAGCAAATAAACTGATTTTCTTTGAAATACCTCATAAATCTAGGGAACAGGTGTCATGAATAAAGAGTGGACTTACTCTAGTCTGATTGAAGAAGGTAAGACTTATCCAAAAAAGTGATGTTTGAGCGTCCTGGGCAGAATTGCCTTGTTGAGTTCCTGTAATTATGTCCTGAAGATTCTACTTTCCTCATTTTCCAGAAGAAAAACTTAAGACTCGGAGAGAGAGAGAGAGTGACATGACCCTAACAATGGAGCTGGTGGTTGGATTGGGAGCCTTCCAGGCAACTGGATAGTGCCTGTGAAAACAAACTACAAATACAACAAACAGCAACACAACCGCCATAGACCCTGTGACTTAGCAGTTCCAGCTCTTGGAATACTTACTACAAATATAGTTTCCCATGCATCTTTGGATGTTCGAACAAGGATGTTGATTACAGCACTGTTGCTAGAGACAAAAAAAGTTGGAGCCAAGTGAAATGTCTCTAAATAGAGAATTGGTTAAAATTACAGTACAGTCTTATAGCACAGTACCATTTAGCAATAAAGGAGTGGAGCAGAACTGTGTATGTTAATATGGAAACATTTGCAAGAGAGAAAAAAACCCAAGTACAGCAGACTAAATTAAAAAGATCTTTATGTATACACTCATATTTGTTTATGAACAGAAAATGTCTGAAAAGACATCCAAAAAGCCGTTAATATTTCTTCTGGGAAATTAAATGAGAGTCCAAAGCAGGATAGAAAAGAATTTTTTACTCGTTAATTTTTTAAGCCATGTGTCGATATCATTTTTTAATTTTTGAGTTAATTAAAAATAACTCAGTTCTCATTACATCTGCCAACAGTGTGACTTCAGAGAGTGATTTAACTTTTCTGAACCTTATTGTTTAAATCTGTGAAATAAATGGAGGGTTTGTCAGCATAGAGGTTTCTAGGTCTGACCCCCTGGGGATTGTGACGCAGGTGGTCTGATGGCAGAGACCATAGAATTTGCATTTCTAACATGTTCCCAGGTCTCCTGCTGCTCCAGGAACCATGCTTGGAAACCTTTTGAACTAAAGGGAAGGAGTCATGTTTTAAGACAGGATGAATTGTAGGCCGGTCCCCTGAGCTACAGGGGGAATTAGAAAGGGCATCACCCTCTAATTCCTCGGTAGAAATCCAGGTCACCTGGACTCCCCGCAGGAGGTGAAGTGGTTATTTATTTATTTTTGAGGCACAACAACCAAAAATAAGTAAATAAAACCGGCTTAGAATGCTCTGGTTCAGGCTCATCCTGATGCTATTGTGGAAGAGGGGACATGGTCAGTGCCCAGAGAAATTCACCCATTGTCCTGCTTTTGGCTAGGATGCTCATTTCCTAGTCAGTGCCAGTTAGAAAATTGCAGTGCACACAATAAACTGGTGCTGCCTCTGTCTTCTGCCATTTTCATAAATTATTCACATTACCCAGCATTTAATAAGCCTCGCCCTTCACACCCTCTTCATGACTGTTCTCTTTCATTTACAGCTGTGGAACAACTATTTTCATCTGGCCGTGGCATTTATCACTCAGGATTCTCTGCAGCTGGAGCAGTTCTCGCATGCCAAGTACAACAAAATTCTGAATAAGTAAGGTGGCATGCCTGGGTTTCCTGGAAGCGGGGAGGAGTTCTTTGGGCTACTCCAAGCTAGTGCCTGAAGCACACATTTTTGTTCCTCCTAGGTATGGGGACATGAGACGGTTAATTGGCTTCTCCATCCGTGATATGTGGTACAAGCTGGGTGAGTAGGCACACAGATACACAGATACACCTGCACAGCCCAACTCCTTCCTCAAGACCACCTGTTAGCGAGCCACAGAGCTTTCGACAGCAAGAGCTTGGAATCTTGATTTATCACTGTGCATGCTCCTGGTCCTGATGAGCATCTTAATGACAGAGGGTTGCTACTCCCATCTCCCCGGGCCGCTAAGAATCTGCTTCTGCTTGATACCCTCAAGGAACTGCAAAGTCAAATTGGAATTTCTAAGAGGCAGGGACAGGCATGGCTGTTAGGAGAACTCACATCCCCCTACTTCGTCAACTCACTGCTGATGGATGGGTGATTCTACTCCCTGCATCCCAATTCTTACATGAGGTGATCTCATGACTCTCCAACCTTAGTGGGAAGAATTGGATCTCTAGAAGATGAGAGGGTCTTTTGACCTGAAAGGTGACCCCAGGAGTTATCCTTACCTCCATGGGCAACAGGAATCATGCATAATTAGGTGAGTGGTAGGAAGATGCAGAAGATGGCACCAGGAGACTTTAGTAAGTCTGAGTGAGGCCCGTGCTAAGGTGGCCATGTTTAATCTTTGCATCACCTCTTACAAGATAGAAACCCTTCCCAGCTACCCTCCTTTTGTTGATCAGGAAAGGAAATAATTTGGTTAACATCAAATAACTGGAGGTCTCAGAGCATGGTTTTGATTTCAGGAGGACAGGGGCCGTAAACATTGTCCACAGCCTGAACCCTGCTGTGTAAATCTGTGCTGAAGGATGCAGGACCTTATTGTGAAATCTATGGAAGAATGAATGAATGAGTAACCAAGAGGAATGCCTGTTTTCACCTCTGATTGTTGTGCTCCCTTCCAACCTATTGGTGGTGCCTAGAGCTCTCATCAGGGCTTGGCTGTTGACTGACTCCCAGAGATGCGTTTAGAGAGACTGCTCAACTCTTGGATTTAAACTCTACCTCAAATCCCTAGACTTTGCTTCTTGCTTCCCAACACCTCTTAGGGTTTGCCAGTCCCCATTGAGTGTTCTGAACAGCAGTCATTTGTCCTGGGGGAAAGCACAGCAAGGCGGATGAACTATTAGCCTGATTGTACGGTGGACTGGCAGCATCTAACTTGGGCTAAGAACAAACAAGGAGGTAGAGGTTGAGTCACAAGACCCAAGTAAGGGCCAAGGATCCAGGGCCAGAAAAGACTATATCTTCCTTGAGCCTTGCCCTGTCACTCACAGACCTTGAGCCCCAAAGCCAGGAATTTGACATCCCTGATCCTGTGCTGGGAAAACAGTTCCTTCTCACGGTTTTAATTCTAAGGGTCAGAAAAGCAAAAACAGGACAGGTGAAACCATAGATGCCAGCACACCCATGCCAGAGATTTTACCCTCATTAGGGGAAGCAATTCTGTTCTGGCTCCTTCATCAAAGCCAGGCATTTCTCAGTAAAGCCTGAAGGGCATGGACAAGACGAGTAATGTAGATCAAAGCAACTGCGATGTGTTTTAGATCTCCAGAATTCCATTCTATCAGCTGTCAGCATTTGGGGTGGGATTACCCTTTATTGTAAGGACTGTCCTGTGAATTTGTGCTGTATTAAGCAATCTCTCTGGCCTTCACCCTCTAAGCTCTCATTTCCTTAGCTGTGAAAATGAAAAATTGTCTGAGTGTTGTCACGTGTCCCCTTGGGGAGGAGGGCTACCCTCTCTGCCATTTTCCTAGAAGCACATGTCTTTTTCAGTCTGTCTTTTGTTTCTCCGCTTTGAATGTGGACAGGGAATTAAGAAATAATTAATATTTCATCTGCCATTGCTTTGCCATAGGGTAAAACACAATCACAAAGCGAGTGTGAGGCTAGGTCGTAACAAGCACCTGACCTCGAAATCTGGAGGATGGCAAGCAGCAGGAGCTGGGGCCCAGGGGTGCAGATGGGGTGCAGAGAAAGGTACAGTTGCTGTCCTTCTCTAGCTAATAGCTGCCCCACCGGGATGCAAGTCCAGGGTTGTTTTGTCTTCATTTTTTTTTTTAATTTAGAACATTGGGTTTTATATTATATTTCCAATGAATGAATATTAATGCAAGTTTCAAAACACTAGAGATGCCCCACAGAAAGGTGAGGCCCAGATTCTGTTTTGCTTAGGAGCTGGCTTGTTATCTATGCAATGGTAGAGACCCACTCGAGCTGCAGTGGGCTTTCCTTCCTCAGCTCTGCAGGCAGGCCTTGCCAGAACTGCAAATCAGTGAGCTTTGCCCTGTTTGTCTGCAGTCCCTTCACACAGCCTGCTCTTTTCTGAATGTCCTTCATTGCCATTGTTTTGCATAGAGATTTTATTTAGATATAGATTATGTTTTGGCAGGCACGCCTGCACTCCCAATTATGCTGATGAATGAAAAGATGTTACCAAATATTCCACCTGCTTAGAATCACAGCACATCAGAGCTGGAAGGGCCCTTTGGAGATCATATTGTCCAGCATTTTTCAAGCGTTTATTTTTAGCTGAGGGCCAATAAAAAATATATCTCATGCTTGATATGTAAATTGGAAGGAAGCAGAGATATTATAATTGAAGTGAGCTGGGAGTCCAGAGCCATGATGATAAACGGCACCTGAGCATCCCACATAGTCCCTTGAGGGTTCTTGATGGAATGGGAGGCAGGAAAAAAGCTTGGCAGGAAATACTTAAAAGCTACTGGTGTGGTACAACACACAACTTTATCCCTGAGGAAACTTCATTCTAGAGAGAAGAGGTTTGTACAAGGTCAATTAGTGGATTAAAGGCAATCATATTGTGTGTTTCAAGGAAGGTGTTTATTGGAAAAATTGCTGAAGAACCAGGTTATAGAAGGACAGGATCCAGAGCCTTGGGAGGATATAGGGCAAGCAGAGCAACCTCCAATATTGCCCACAAGTTGCTCCCTTTCTGCATACCCTGCTAGAGATGCAGACTCCAGAAGACACTATTCCATTGGCTTTCCTTGGATGACCTCTTGATATTTCCATCAAGCTAATAACCATTAGTGGAGGTAAAGTTCCCCTATGTGAACTCAAGGATGATACTGCTGTAAGAAGGAGTTACAGACAGAGGTCGGATGAAATCCACAGATTTCCACTGCAGAAGACAAGACATAAACGATGCTTCTCACAGATTACCAAGCTCTCACACCTGGCCAGGCCCATAGGGAAGAGTAAAGTACAGCAGCCTGAAGTGGTCTCCCTGCTCATACAGACCTTCCACTCAATGGTTATATGCCCGTCTCCTTGCTTGTCTTTTGCAGACAAGAGAAAGTAGAGGCAGAAAGATTCCAAGGCCACTCTCTATGAGATGCAAGTATTGACATGTCTTCTCCATGTTAATCGTTAATAAACACCAGGAATGCATGCTTCTGTACATTGGGAGCCAATATAACGAGACATTGTGTCATAGTATCTTTGGAAGTGCATGCAACTCCTGTATTGTCCAAGACAGAGTAAAATTTAGAAGTATCAGTGGCAGACTGCTGATTGACCGTCAATAGCTATTCTGTTCTTCCTAAGTAAGCATGGATTATTTTTGGTGGGTGGGGGAATATTAGTAGTTTTGCCAGGTAGTAACCATGTGACTAAGCTCTGTGTACATTGTAGAGCTTTTCTCTGATATCAGAATTATTTCCCAATTAAAAAAAAAATAAGGCATGGAAAAGGAGAAACTGATGTTTACCCATAGATCTTTTCCGTGTCCTCCATCGCAGAAATAACAATATTCCTACAGAAGGAAAAGTTGCCTGAAGCCATGATGAACTGCTAAGGATAGAGGGACAGCTTGGGGGCAGATTATCTGTCAACTTCTTGTTAAGGAAGAAAATTAACTCTTGAATGCAGCCAGGCCAGTCAAGTTTCTGTTACATCCTCACATGATGAATGGTCCAAGTCAGCCCTTGACTTTATCAGTGAAGGGCCCACAATGGCCAGGTTGGGGCAGGCGGAAGCCAGGACTCTTGGACTGCACCTGAGCCTGTCATTGGAATATGTTTTCCCAGGCATATTAGCAGGGAACTGGATCTCAAGTAGAGCTGCCAGGACTTGAACTGGTGCCCGTATGTGATGCCTGTGCCCCAGGCAGTGGGTTAACCCATTGTGTCTCAACACTGGCTCCACAAACTATTTTCAAAGGATGTGAAATAGTCAACTGTGTTTTTCAAAGATTATGGATAGTGAGTAAATCATCACAAATATTAATATTTACATTTTGTGTCACTGTTGGAAACCATCAGGCCGTCATGATCAACTGCATTATCATCTTCTCATCAGGAGCGACATGAGCAACTCTGTGATTAGAAGATGGTTAATTCCAAAGCTGTGATCTCAGGCTTGAGGATTACTTAACTTTCTTCTGAGCAGCGTACAGATGTGTGTGTATGTGTGTGTGTATGTGTGAGAGAGAGAGAGAGAGAGAGAGAGCAAGAGAGGGAGATTTGCTTTGTTTTGGGAGAAAAGGTACAGACAGAGAAGTCTTAACAGGGAGTAGGAAAACATGTTGCTGTGGACTCGGCCATTAATGGGTTAATGCCATTTGTGCCTTTGAATCCTGGGATGATGCCAAATGTAACCTGCTCTTCCCAGTGCTGTAGCATCATAACATCTGATTTCTACTTGGTGTGAAGCCATGCACATTTTGCTAAAATGACTTTGCACTTAACCCTCCCACATTCACTTGGTTTAACACTGTGCTGCTGTGTTAACAGTCGGTGTGGGAAAGAAAAGCACGTCCCCGTGACTGGAGTCTTGGCCTCACACATGGGGAGGCTGCTCCTGGCAGGGCTGTGAGAGCACAGCAGTTGTTCCTCTCCAGCAGCTAGAGTGGCCAGGTCCAGCCGTGCTGGGAGCATTGCAGGGACATGAGGCATGATCCAGATCTGCATGGAGGAGCCTGCCGTCAAATCAGGAAAACAACAGAATCTGGTTATTTAAAATGAGTGGAATAGTAGGCACCCAGGAAATGAGACAGAAAGGAACTAAAAGAGAATTAAACCACTTGG